TCTAGTGGGGGATGTCCCTGCCCATGGCAGGGGGTTGGAACGAGATGTTCTTTAAGATCCCTTCCAACCCTGACAATTCTATGATTCTATGCCTTGGTATTCTTTCTGGTTTTTTGTGCTTTGTGAAGGGAGCTAAAGCTGCGACCAGAGGGAGGTTTGGAGATCTCTCCTTACTGAGATGGGTAGAGGTTGCGTTGCATCTCCTCTTGGCGACACCAAGCCGAGAGGTGCTGTTGACACACCTGAGGGACAGGATGTCATCCAGAGAGACCTGGACAAGCTGGAGAATTGGGCTTGGGTGAATCTCATGAGGTTCAACAAGGCCATGTGCAAAGTCCTGCACCTGGGTTAGGGCAACCCCTGATATCCACACAGGCTGGGGGGATGAAGGGATGAAGAGCAGACCTGTGGAGAATCATAAAGTCATAGAACGTTAGGTGTTGGAAGGGACTACTAGAAATGATCTAGTCCAAGGGGCTTGGGGGTGTTGCATGAAAAGCTGGACGTGACCCAGCAATGTGCACTCCAAGCCCAGCAGGCCAGTCACATCCTGGGCTGCATCCAGGAAAGCGTGGTCAGCAGGACAAGGGAGGAGATTCTGCTCCTCTGCTCTGCTCCGGTGAGACCCCTCTTGCAGTTCTGTGTCCAACTCTGTAGTCACCAACACAAGAATGACTTGAACCTGTTGGAGTTGGTCCAGAGGAGGCCACGAAGATGATCAGAGGGCTGGAGCACTTCTGCTACAAGGACAGATTGAGAGAGCTGAACTTGTTCAGCTTGGAGAAGAGAAGCTTCCAGGGAGACCTTATAGCACCTTCCAGTAGTTAAAGGGTGCCTGAAAGAAAGATGGGGACAATGTTTTTAGCAGGGCCTGTAGCGGTAGGACAAGGAGCAATGGTTCTAAACTAAAAGATGAGTGATTCAAACTAGATATAAGGAGAAATGTTTTACAATGAAGGTGGTAAAACACTGGCACAGGTTGCCCAGAGAGGTGGTGGAGGACCTATCCCTTGAGGCATTCGGGGCCAGGATGGACAGGGCTCTGAGCAACCTGATGTAGTTGAAGATGTCCCTGCTCATGGCAGGGATGTTGGACTAGATGACCTTGCAAGGTCCCTTCCAACCCAAACCATTTGGTGGTTCTCTCCCATCCAGGCTTTATAAGATAGTAGCTGAAAAGCTGTTGTGTGGAGAGGAGGCGACTGTGCCAACCTGAGTCTTGAAAAGTAACTGTAATTTTTCAGTATTTGTGGCCACACAGGGAGGATGATGGACTCACAGAAGCAATCAGGCAGCAGTTTTTAACCAAACAAATGGGAGGCAATTTGTTTTTAACGCACATTATGCAAGTCATTGCCCCGGGATGTCGTGAAGGCCAAAAATGATAAGCAGCTTCGAAGAGGAATAAATGGCTCATGTGTCCATTAGCGCTCACTAAACACAGGAATCTGGATGCAAGATCCAGTTTGAGCAGTCTGAGCAGTTCTTTGTGAAATGTGTATATTAAGGCTTGCTTGGCACTTGCTCTATTTTAATTTATTTTTTGTTGTTTTTTTTTTTATTCTTTACCCTAGGATCTGCTCCCAGAGCAGAGGGTGGTTTGGGTGAGAAGGGGATCTCATCTGGGTCAGCAAGGGATTTTCTTTTTTTAAGCAGCTGTTTTCTCCAGCCCCTGAATGGCTGCATTTAACTGACAGTTGAAAGGGATTAAAGTAACACAACGCTATCTCACTGGTTGGTGATGGGTAGTCAGCACCGTGTCATGAATTCCCAGGATCTGCTCCCAGAGCAGAGGGTGGTTTGGGTGAGAAGGGGATCTCATCTG